TTCATCTATGCCTTTTTAGCTGAAAGTACCTTTGCAATAAAAGACCCCTCTTCTCCCAGATTCAATTCCTCCATAAAGAATGAGCAAGAAATGTAAAAGGAGGAAAATAAATTTCTGACATGCTCGGGATAAGCATTATCTGAAAGACACATGTTGGTGGTTGGGGAACTTCATTCCAAGGCAGTCATTCTGCATCCAAAATATGACCTACATTGAAAATACAAGAATTTGTTAAACTGGCATGCACATTCCACATGGATTTACTAAAAAGGGGCCATCTTGTTTGCTTGCTAAGAATTTTTTTTAAAGAATTTTTTTCGGTTGAAAAGCATCCTCATAGCTTTATCATATTTCACATTGACCCTGAAATAAAAGATGACTCACATTATTTTGTCTTGGATTTGGATGCTTCTAAGAGAGTTTAGCAGAGCCTATCATAATTCCTCTGTATGAGACCAAAACTATCCAGATCAGCTGCCTGATCAGGTGAAATGAGGTTAAGTATTGATCAGTCCTCAATCATTCTGAAGGCCTCAAATGAAGTTAGTTCTTCCTTAGCCTCTGGGGCACAATATCTGCAAGGAAATCAAGAGGGCCAGTCCCCTAACTGCATTCAGGGCACATTGTGGGAGGTGCAGAGCAAAGGTGAGTTTACACACCAGTGACTAAAATTTCCTGTCACTAAGCATAAGAAGTCACTCATGAGCAGCGTCCCCAAACCACAGTTACAGGATGTGGGCACAAGCCCTTGTATAATTGTTGGCCAAGAGCCAATAAGCATTCACCTTGTGCAAATACTTGGTTTTTTTTTTTTTGGTTGTTGTTATTAACCTTTGGAAACCACAGGCATTAGCTTCTCTCTTTCTTCCCCTTTGGCACAAATCATCTTCTTTTCTCCAACGTGGTCTTATGTGTGTAAAGAATTTTGGAGGAGCTTTTAAGGCTAAATTTAATACTTTTGCCCTCCCTCTCCTGCCTCACTAAATGCCAGGCAGAGGTAAAACTGCCTCACAAAATATCTGCTGGCTCTTCTGGCTTCCGCAGCTTTGTTTGGGCCTTTTGATCAGATAGGAAATCAGAGAGCTCTATGAGTGACCTTAGACTTTAACAAAATAAAAGTAATTTCTGGAAATTCCCCCTAAACAATTGTAACCTATTGTTTTCCCACTACAGAATTCACCTAGCAGCTAGTAGGTATTGACTCAAATGGCATGCTTTTCTTTGGGAATAGAGATCTTGGATTGAAAACAGCATTAGGTTCAAGAAAAGAATGAGGAGATATTGTCTAATCTTATTATTGCCAAGAATGTACTGTCTCCTTTCTGAGCAATGTATTTCTAGTTTCTAGATCATTGCTTCATTGTCTGTGAAATGAAAGCATTGGATTAGAAGGTTTTCATGCTTCCCTGGCCCCAGGGCTCTGTGAATTGGCTCTTAGTAAAGCTTCCACAAAAGGACAATGAAAGTGGGCATCAAGGCAAAAGATCCAAAAGCAGCCAAGGCATAAATTAGCTTCTCTTTCCTACCTTAAGAGATGGAGAAAAGTCAAGATTCCAAAGAGGCCTGACAAGTAGAAGGTTGGACATAGTGGATTTTTATATCTCTACTACCCAGAAATGGGAGAGAAGCCATCAACCTTGTCTCCCCCCTGGCACCACCACCCCCTCTCCCCTGGCCTCTCCACAACATCCTACATCTTGGCATCAAAACCCAACCTGACCTTACGCTAGTCATGCATTATTTCTTTTCAATAAAAGCTATGCCATTCAGACTTAACTGCATATAATATAAGGACAGTTCTATAACCTTCAAAACTGTAAGATATACCAGAAGACTAAGGAAACGCTCAATGAATATATTCAAGCCATGTAGGAAAGAATGCTTAGTAGAAATATTTTAGCGAAAACACCTGCATTAGGAAATTATCAGATAAAGACCACCAACCAAGAGATATTGTGGTGATATGGGTGATGTTTAATGTCTCATGCATCTGTTCCAATTTCCCTAGTTCATTCCCTTTTGGGAAACATTCAAAGGGTAGTTTAATGGAAAAATCCAGATATTCTATTGGTCTCCTGGTTTGTGGCTACTGGGTGAACTTAAGGACTAATACTTCAAATGAGAGCACCAAGTGTCCAGTGAAAAAAGTCAGTAGGTCCCTGGTGATGGTAAAACAATTCCCGGGAAGAAATGGATGTAGGTACCTTAAATATTGATTGCCCCATGTTTTGCTTCAAAAGTCCCTCTAGGTCTACAGCTAAGTATCCAGTCCTTTACTTGAGCCCTCAGAAGATCTTCATGATAGTGGTAGAATCAATATCATTATCTCCATTTTGGATGTTAGCAAAATCAATGACAGGAAAGCTAAGTCAATTTTTCAAGATCTCATGTAACATATTCAGCCTTTTCAAAAGGAAACAGACATCTAATTAGCTGAACATTTATCCACAAGTATGTGGAGACTTCGAAGGTTACTGGCACTAAAATATTATATCAGCTCTTCGTCTGTTATAGAACAGTGGTGACTTTCACAATATCTATTTAGTTCTTCTTGAACATTTCAGTTGAATGAGAGCTCTGTATTTCAAAAAGCAACTCCTTCCATCATTGCATATTTATAAGTATAGACATTCTTATCTTGAACTACTGCCTAAGTTCTTGAATCTTTTGGTCATAATTCTGCTTTCTTGAATCTATTCATCAGTTAATGGGCTATTTTACCCAACAATCAACAATTACTATGAAAAGTAAAGACAGTTTTGTTGTTGTTTTTTTTAATAAAATCTCTCCTTTCAAGCTGAATATGAAAGCCATTGGAACACTGATATGTGAATCTCTAACACAAATGAAAACTGAATTTTGGAATATATATTAAGAGATATGAAACATTTTTGGTTCTAGTAAGTATTTCATAGTGCTATCAATATAGATGGGATCTCTAGACTAAGACATGTGCTCCCCTCTACTGGTCCTTTCCAAGTAGTATCCACTGATGAGATTATACAGTGTCCTTTAGAAGATTGTGAACAATCTGGCCTAGGTTACAAGAGGGACAAATATGTACGGAAATTAATTGTCAGGATGATCCTGACTCAAGAGAATGTGCTGGACACTAAGAGGTGTCTGCCAACAAACGCCACTATTTTGAGGCATATGGGGAATTTTTGGCAACAATGTTATAAAAATTTGCCAATTAAGACTGTGTCAGAACCACTGCCAAAGCACTTCAATGACTTTTCATTCCACTACTGTTGACAGGAGAGCTAAAGATTTCAACATTTCCTCTCACAGTCTGAATAGACATTCCTTGCCTTGGGGACTGTAACAATATTTGCCATCACGGGAGTGTGGGAGTAGACGCTGTAAAGCGAGAAGACGAGGTGGGGGGGGGAAGAAATATTAATGCCAGTAAACAAGGGCAAAATAAAATAATAATTAATGTTTGGGTTCTGAATGTGTGAATCGACTTAATCTCTATGAATGAATCAGAGACAAAGCTTTGAAATTGGAGGAAGTATTCTAACAAAAAGACTTTAAGCTTCGCACAGCTAAAAAGTCCTGGAATGTTCCATTTTAATGTCCATCGTGATATCTCAATTTGAAAAGGCAAAAGTGATCACTTCAATAATTACAACAGATGTCATTTAATACTTTATTTTAAAATAAATTGAATTTAAGTAAGATTTAAAACTTAAAAAAAAAAAACTTGAAGGGATGAATATTCCCCTGGGTTGTTCAAAACTTGATCTAAGTTAGGGAAGTACAAAGAAGAAACAAGAAGAAAAAGACAATGAGAACAAAGCAAATTAGGGAAATGGTTTTGAAAATTGGGTTCTCAAGACCTTCTGTGTTCAATGGCTATAACATATCACGATCCTTGAGGGCCTACAAGGAGGAACCGGTGTACTACCATCTCTACTTCACCCACAGTGGTCTTTATTTCTGTCTTATATATTGGCCTTCTGAAAAAAAGATTTAATTAAAAGGAAAGGCTTTGCTATTAAAAAATATTTTAACTGAAGTGGCGCGGTAGCTCAAGTGGTAGGGCGCTTGCCTTGAGCTGAAGAGCTGAGGGACAGCGCCCAGGCCCAGAGTTCAAGCCCCACGACTGACAAAAAAAAAAAAAAAATATTTTAACAAAACTGAGCCACTGAAAACTCTTGATAAGATCAAATTGTGCTTTAAGAAGCTTTTAGGCGTACATTACAAATTAGAAAAGAAAAAGTAAAATACTTCAGAAGAGGGATTTCAGTTAAAAGGTCATATGAGTAATCGTGGGAGCTAAATTGAAAATTTGATCTAATATTGTCACTATGAGAATAGAAAGGAGAAGGAATATATGAATGTGAGAAAGATGAATGAGTAGGTTTTCTTTTTCAAGTGTTGAGGATCAAAACCAGGGTCTTGACTGTGCTAGATCAGTACTATAACACAGAGCTATACTTCTAGTTCTAAGAGAACATATTTTAATTCAAAATAGCTGGGTGTGTTATAAAATGCTAAGCCACATACATATACAGTACTATTATGTGGGGTGTATTTAACAAAGGATTTAGACAAAAATTGATGGATTTCAGAGATAAATGAATTAGATCATAATATCTCACAGAGAAATCCAGGATTTGGAAGAAACTGAGTATCATGTCATTGAAACATTGATATGTGAATCTGAAACAGAAATGCAAACTGAATTTTGGAATATATTTTAAGAAATATCCATTTGGAAGTCATTTTTATAAAAGTCCTAGCTAAAATAATACATGTAACCTAATGATAGAGTAAATCAAGATCAGAAGACTGAATACCAATTCCTACATTAAAGAGGAGAAACAAGAATCCAAAGAATCTACTTGGAGTTCATAATCAGGCACTCATTAGATAGCAGCATTATTTGATGGATGTAATGGATTTTACAGTATTTATTTTCCAGTTTCAAGGAACTCTTACATTAGTTTTCATATGTGAGTACTTAAATAGGCATCTATCATTCCAATCAAGCTTTCAGATTTCTTAAATTATAGAATATTCAAAGTCATCTGGGAAAGTAATTCATTGTTCTGGTTCAAAAATGTCATGAAATTAAACAAAATATTCAGCAATGGCACATCTAAAGATGATATACAAAACTGAAAAATAAGAAAATTTTAAAAACCAATACTCCCACGGGCAAGGGAGTAGCCAAGTTTGTTACGGTTTCCAATGAATGACATGAGGCCCGTATAAGTCTCAATCAGAATGGGTTGAGTTAATACCATCAGTTCCTTTCCTCGTTCAGATCCAGTGGAAGTCTTATAGGCATTCTGAATCGCTGGAATAAGCTTAGATGTGAACCCAGACAACTGAGGAACAAAAGAAGAAGCACAGAGTTAGTAAATTCAGAGTAGCACCTGCAACTCCCCCCATCCCCCCTTCCCTTCCCCAAACTAGTCCTCATGAAGTTGATGGCTCCCCTGGGGCCACACTTCTCCTACCTGCTTAAACACAAATGATTTCTCAGGGGAGTCAGCTTCTGTTTGTCTCTTCATAAATGAGTCAGTAAATATATTATGTACATAATAGAATTATCTGCCTTGTCTTGTGTATGTTTCATTATGTACCACTTGTACAGCATTAAGAAGACAATTTTAATAAATTTTTGCAAATATTCTGTCATGAATAAGATACTTTCTGGGTACAGTTGGAAAGTTAAAGACAGGTAAGACACACTCTACCATCAAAGAAGACTGGCTATACTCCAGAATCTAAGAAATGAACTTGTAGCTCGACACCGTTAGCTCACGCCTATAATCCTAGCTACTCAGGAGGCTGAAATCTGAGGATCACTGTTCAAAGCCAGCCAGGTATGAAAGTCTGTGAGACTCTTATTTCCAATAAGCCACCAGAAAACCAGAAGTGGCTCAAATGGTAGAGCGCTCGCCTTGAGTTGAAGAGTGCAGGGACAGAACCCAAGCCCAGAGTTCAAGCCCCTTGACCGACAAAAAAAAAAAGGAAAAAGAAAGAAAGAAAAGAAAACAAAAAGAGAAGAAAAGAAAGAAATCAATTTGTAATTACAGCACAAAGAAATAAGAAAACAGAAACATTTTATTTATTAAAATAGGAAATATACAAGGTAAACAAGTTACCACAGTCAGTCCACAAAAAAAGAGGCATAAAATGTTAAAGGAATCCAAAAGAGATGTCACATATAGTTAAAGACTGGGAATGACTTCAGGAGGACTAGAATATAGGAATGGAATCTTCCAGTTCTATAATCCTTGTAGGATTATAGTCCTTATAGGACTGGGACACTCTATCCAATAGAAATAAAGTTCAACAGATTAGGAAGGATATAGTAAATAGATGCTGCCCTTTACAGTTTAGCATTCTTTTCAACAAGTCAAATTCTTCTTCTGATAGGTATTTCCATTTTTCTTTGAAGGACCACTATCTTTCCCTTGGTTTATATTATGAGCTAAAGTAGAATTAGCATTAATGCTTGCTTAGGACAAACCAATAAGAGTAACCCATGCTTTTGTTTAGTTCTGGTCCAGTTATGAGCAAAGAAGACCAATGTGCTAGTCAAACATGGAAGGTATCCATGATCAATTGACCACACATAGTGAACCTGACTATGCACAAAATCTATAGAGATGGGGCTAGGAAGGTGGCTCAGTGGTAGAGTGCTTGCCTTGCATGCACAAGGCCCTGGTTCGATTCCTCAGCACCACATAAGCAGAAAATGCTGGAAGTGGTGCTGTGGCTCAAGTGGTAGAGTACTAGCCTTGACCTGAATTGCTCAAGGACAAAGCCCAGGCCCAGAGTTCAGGCTCCACAATGGACAGAAAAATAGAATCTACAGAGTTATGGATAGAGCTAATGTCTTGACAAAGTCATATGAATGAATAGATCACATTAACACTGAACAAGTCAAATAAGCCAAGATTTTTTTTTCTTTCCTCTAGTTACATCAGGTTGCATTGGATTTTTTAGTAATCAAGAGATAGATAATTCATTCAGAGAGTATTATAAGCAGAGATGTAAATTAGCATGTAAGTGAGGAAAGTTTGTATCTTCACATTTCTAAAACTTTTATATGCAGCATTTCATTCTAAAAAAAACCTCTGATAAGGTAAAACACATGTATTAGAAATATAGAAACTATGAGAGTTGCCACAGTTAGTCTACTTTTATACATCATGGAAAGAAAAGAGCAATTAGGAATAAAGGCCTACTCACAGTGAAATTTAAACCTATTTCCTTGGTCACTGGTTTACTAATCTAAATCAGGACTCTCAGAGTTCATTCCAAGTTCAACCCAAATTATTAGGCATCTTCTATAAAGGGATTATTGTTTTTGTCTTCTCCATGTGGAAGTCAGTTTTTTATTTAAGAGAACAACCCAAGAGTATCCCCTTGTGAAATTTCAATTAATACCAGAAAAAGAAAATGAGGCTTTCATAAGAATTCAAATGTTTTATACTGGTTCTGTCTTGAATTGTCTTTGGGAAAGCCACTTTCCCCCAGTTCATCCTTAGTTTCCATTTGTGTAATACATAAATAAAATTTAGAATGTGTCTGTCATTACTAGCTGACTTACACCTCAAGGAAAACCAAAAGTCACATGTGTGAAAATTATGATTTGTGCTAGTTTTCTGTTCACTTCTCATAGTCTCAGTTTGCCTACTAAAGTCAGACCTTTCAATGTATGGCTATTTGGATAAGTGTTTAAAAATTAGTTAATGTATATTTTTGTATAAAACTTCTGTAATAAAATTTATTTTTTATTTCAAATTTAGCCATTGTAGACTCTCTTCTAGGACTATTTTTAATCATTTAATATTATTTTTAATAGTCTCTGGATGGATAGTGAGACCATTACTGAGTTAATACAGCATAGAAAATACAGAGAATGGCAAGGTGCCAGTGGCTCATACCTGTAATCCTAGCTACTCAGGAAGCTGAGATCTGAGGATCTTGGTTGGAAGCAGGAAAGTCTGTGAGACAACTAATCAGAGAAAGCTGGAAGTGGCACTGTGGCTCAAATAGTACAGCATTAGTCTTGGGCACAAATTGGTTCAGGGACAGTGCCTAGACCCTGAATTCAAGCCCCAGGACTGGAAAAAAAAAACAAAAAAAGAAAGAAAGAAAAGAAAAAGAGAAAAGGAAGAAAAGAAAATATAGAGATTAGAAATGGTGAGGTACTGGGATCACAATCCCATTTAGATATATTATTTGAGTTTTCTAACAAGTAAGCATCGTACAGGTTTCCTATAAGCAAACTGTATATGTGAGCTCCATCATGAAGAACCATGGCAATAAAAAGTTCTTGCCGGCAGGTAACATTTCCATGATAGTATTCACAGATCCAAAAGTCGAGGACAGTTTTGGCAAACTGGAGTTAAAAACTTCACCAAGATAAGATATAGGATATAGTGTAGAAATCCACAAATTCAGAAATCTCTTGTTGAATAAAGTGCTACATCCTTGGAGCAGTTTAGAGGGGATTAAGTAGGTAAACAGGGTCCATTGGTTTCAGACATTGGTCCAATGCCTAAAATATAGCAAATAGCTAAAGCATCATGTCTCCTAAATTAACTCCTAGATCCTTTTCTTCCTTCCTTCTTCCTTTCTTCCTTTCTTTTCTTCCTTCCTTCCTTTTTCTTCCTTCCTTCCTTTTTCTTCCTTCCTTCCTTCCTTCCTTTCCTTCTTTCTTCCTTCCTTCCTTCCTTCCTTTCCTTCTTTCTTTCTTTCTTTCTTTCTTTCTTTCTTTCCTTCTTTCTTCCTTCCTTCCTTCCTTCCTTTCCTTCTTTCTTTCTTTCTTTCTTTCTCTCTTTCTTTTTGCCAATTGTGAGGCTTGAACTCTGGGCCTGGACCAGGGCCTGGGCCTGGGCCTGGGCACTCTCCCTCAGCTCTTCAGCTCAAGGATAACACTCTACCACTTGAGGCACAGCACTACTTCTGGTTTTCTGAGTGGTTTATTGGAGTCTCATAGCCTTTTCTGCCTGAGTTGGCTTGAACTGTGATCTGCAGATCTCAGCCTCCTGCGTACCTAGGATTACAGGCATGAGCCACCATGCCCATCCCATAGATCCTTTCCTTCTATGTAAAAATGCTGATGTAAAAAAGTATTTTAAAATTTTAATATATAGAGAAGTTGATGCAAAATTATTTAGAAAAAGATAAATAACTTTTTTAAAATTTGCAACACAGATGGGAAGGGGAAACAAAGGAGGAGGCAACAATGCTTGATAAGAAATGTACTCATGGGCTGGGAAGGTGGCTCAGTGGTAGAGCGCTTGCCTTGCATGCCTGAGGCCCTGGGTTCGATTTCTCAGCACCACATACGCAAAAAGAAAAAAGCCGGAAGTGGCGCTGTGGCTCAAGTGGTAGAGCGCTAGCCTTGAGCTGAAGAGCTGAGGGACAGCGTCCAGGCCCAGAGTTCAGCTCCCACGACCGGACCGAAAAAGAAAAAGAAAAAGAAATTTACTCATTACCTTGCCCATGTAACTGTAACCCCTTTGTATGGTATTTTCACAATAAAATTTTTTTTAAAAATTTGCAACAAAAAAGGATAGAGAAAATGTTATATCCTTTAATGTTGAAACCATAATCCTTTGAACAATATATTTGCCTTACACTGTATGACCACTTACCATCCAAAATGGATTCTTTTGAAAAGAAATAAGGTTACTAACAGTAGAACAATAAGTCAATGAGGTATTAGACAGAGGATGTAGAAGACAGGGCAAAAGCCAATCAAGTAACTTGCTTCCATATCTTCTGTCACACCAATTACAGATGCAGTATTTTATCCATTATACATATTTAGGTTCTAAATAACATTTCTGTTTTAAAAGCCTCTATTTAGATGGAAATCACTGCCTGGGAATCTCAAGCATGGACAGACTCAATACACAAAAGACCTACACAGCCTATTCTCCTAATTATCAAGCTCAAAGCCTATGTTTCCAGAATACCTTTCCATATACCCAAACTAAAAATTATTTTTTAGTATGAGGCTGGTGGCATGTAATTCTAGCTAATCAGGAGGGTTGAGATCTGAGAATTGATGTTCTAAGCTAGCTGAGAAAGGAAAGCCTCTTAACTCCAATTAATTACCAAAATGCTAGAAATGGAGCTGTGGCTCAACTGGTAGATTGCTAGCCTTAAGGAAAGAAAAATTCAGAGACAGCACTATGGCCACATTAAAGCCCCAGGACCAACACTATAATATTAATATTATCAATATTATTAGCAATAATAACAATAATTATATTTTCTATTGTATTTCACTTGTATCCTCACTCAAATATAGCACCCAGTTGTTTTGTTTTTTTTTAAGTAGAGTCACATCATGGCT